TGAACAACAAGGATTGCCCTGGTTCCTCAGGATGGACCCTTCATAAAGAGTATCGGGAACACAAAGAGGAGTTGGCTGGTGGGGAAGCATTTTATTACTTCATCACGAAAATATTGTCYGCCATTTCCCCAAGTCRCACCAAATTTYGGGAACGGAAAGGAAGTGAATTGATAAGTAACATATTTAGTGTTTCAGATGAGGCAATTTGAAYACTTGTACCATATGATYCTAGCTGCACCTGTTGAGAGAACCAAACATTTAAAATTTAATTGAAAAAATCAAAAARTGATTTGAAAACTTGTACCATGGGATTCTAATRTACCGCAAAAACATGAACTCAACCACACCAAAATAGAATTGAAATAAATTGGAAATTTACTTGATCTTTTCTACCATGGAATTAAAAAATACAATTTGCACTCCCAATATGCAAACGTGAATAAAAATAAATTGGCACCACATGACTTGACATTTTGACAGCAGCCATCCCATGACTTTCAAAATTAATTCTCAACCCATGACACATCGAATATTTTTAAAAAWATTAATTGACAAGTGAGGTAGTAAGTCCAGTTGGGATTCACAACCCACGTGTTATTTTCACTCACAAAAAATGTTCATTCAGGGGTAGAGAATAGGTACAAACCCCAAAAATATACAAAAAATAGGGGTCAAAAAACAGTTAATGGACGTGAGGTTTGGTTATACCCCCACACACATACATTTTGTGCAAACATTTAGCACAGGGAATYACTATGATTTCTCCTCAAGCTAATTACCTAAGAATGACCTCTGTGATACGATGCTGTGCTTGTTCTGTTGTCTTCACCACAAAWTTATTCTACCAGTTTATAAAATACAGACTCACCTGATTATCAATTCATATTTCAGCAACTGATGTCAAGGTTGGGCATGCTGTGCTTGACCGCCTAAAATTAATTCACCAAAATACTTAAACAGCAATACTTTTTCCCACATAGACCTGGTGCTGTGATGTTCACATTTGGAATGTTTTGTCTAASACTTGGAATRCTAGAATACCCTACCAGTCTAACACTCCAACTGTGCTATTATGGTAGGATTTTGATTGTTATTTGATGCATATRAGTACAGTCCTCTACTAGTACACATAAAACAACAATTGAAATGATGTTGATTGAGGCATTKTCAGGAACGTTAATTAAACATTCCAAATGTTATTTTAACATAAGGAACATTATTATGTCACCGTAGGCCTACATAGACCCTAGTAATCCAATAATCAGCATCCTTCAATGTGGTAGCACTGTGACAACACCACTACTACCTTCCTAAAACAATTATTTGGGTCTTGCACATGCTACCTTAAAGACAAGGAAGAATGACTTCCTCTCCTGCTTGTACTTATATTCAGACTGCTACTGATAAGCAGAGCATTCAGGACGTTAAATTGAAGCAAAAACTGCAGTATTCATTTCTACATAGCCTACACTGCTAACATTCAGAATGTTAAATTAACCTTCCCAATGCCTACATTAGCGTAATTTCAATTTCAATTGTTGTTTTATGCATAGTATCGACGGACACCACGAAAGTTCTTTCCTCTTTTCAAGACGGTTAAGAAACATTTCACTTCATGGAATCTGGTCCTGTACCAGTGCATAAAAAATCAACGAAACTCAAAAACTCTTGTGATCACAGTGCGATTCTCGTTCAATTAGATTGCTTKAAGAGTGCAAGATGGATCCAACAARTGGAAGCGATATACGAAATGTTCCTACAATCGATTTGTCTACAATTTCGGAGGAAGATGCTGCAGAAAAAGTCTCCAAGGCTTGCAGTGAGTTTGGTTTTTTCCAAATAATCAACCACAGTGTATCGAATGAATTAATTGAATCCTATCTCAAATGCTGTCGAGAGTACTTCGCGCTTCCTTTGGAATTGAAGCTTCAGTGGAAACGAAACGAAGGAAACGCGAGAGGATTCTTTAATGACGAGCTAACACAACAAAAACGAGATTGGAAAGAAGCATTGGATGTCGGTGTTCCAGGGTCTCGAGACTGGTCTACAGGAGACGACATTCCCGAAAACAAATGTCTAGATGGCTGGAATCAGTTTCCAACAGAAGATGTTCTTCCAAACTTTCGACGGWTAGTTTCGAAATACTTCCAAGAGTTGTCTTTGCTGGCCGATGAGATTGCCGTTATCATGGCAAAAGGACTAGGTCAAGATGAGAGTAGTCCCCTTATACAAGAACTTCGAGAAAAACATTCAAGTTATATGCGAGCGAATTACTACCCATTGTGCAACGAAACGAGAGACGACGGGTCGAAACCGCTTGGGATCTCTCCCCATCGAGATGCTGGATTTTTGACTATTTTGCTGCAAGATGCAGATTGTCATTCGCTTCAAGTCCTCAAAAATGACAAGTGGATAACCATTCACCCAGCTGGAAAGTTTTCCTTCACAATCAACACGGGTGATATGGCCGAGGTTTGGTCCAACGGACGATACAAGGCTCCTTTACATCGTGTGCTGAGCAATCAAACAAAGACGAGATATAGCACCCCTTTCTTTTACAACCCGAGCTATGAAACAATCGTGAAGCCCTTGAAGGATGGGGAACCTGACGAACCCTCCTTATTCAACGATGTCCTTTGGGGTTATTTTCGAGCTGTTCGGTTTGCAGGGGACCTCACTGATCTCGGAGTCGAAATTCAGGTGTCGCACTTTCTCAAAGAGAACGAAGATTGCGCTCATCAAAGAAAACAAGAAATATTTGGCAAGGAAGTCAATTTCAATGTTCCGTTTAATGTGAAGGAATACTCCGCCCTGTTACTGCAGCGATGAAGTATTTGATCGTGAAGGTAACGACATCCAGCACTTCCATTTTGGCTGGCGTACAATTTTTTTGATCAATTTGTTTTTTTGACATCTACAAACAAATACCTGAGATGTCGACAATATGTTGGTTTCTTGCTACACTTTCCAATGAAACGCATGAAAGAATGACAAACTTTTTTCCAGATAGTTCAATATGAAACTTTTACAAATCATGATCCCAGAGAAGGGCACCATGAGTTACAGTTGCGAATGGCTACGACCAAGAAAATTGTTTTAAAAATACCATTCCATGGGCTGGTCATCGATGTAAGAACTTTGGGACGACTATCTCCTTATTTACCCCATGGTTCCTTTTCTTCTTCTTCCTTGGTTTTCTTCAACGGTGCCAGATTGAGCTTGATCATCATAGCCTCAAATTCAGTGTAGTCGATGAAACCATCGCCATCTTTGTCAAACTTATGGAACATCTTGTTCACTGCCTCAGTATCGATGTGAAGGTTACGTCTGTATTTACGAGGAGGCTCGACAAGTTGAGGTGGAGGTGCCTCCTCATCTTGCATAGCTAGGTACCTCTGTAGTCGCCAGGCAACCTTACCGATGAAATCTTCCGTTGTGAAACCACCGGGTCCGGACATGTCACGAGTACCCTGTCCGTAACGGAATGTGTTGTGCATAGCTTCACGAAGTGTCTCGGTGAAGTTCATGATCTTCAACTTGGTGGCAAGTTTCGTGTCGTCGTCGGGATTTCTTTCTGCGTCAAGCATGGCTGCGTGCTGCATGGCACCAATYATAGCTTCGACAAGACCTAAGGGATTCAGAGATGTTTCCTTTCCGGCCAAATGGTCATGCCACAAGTCGGATACAGTACCATGTGAGGCCTCGAATTCCTTGATCAGACTTCCGTCGTCGTTCACGCCCACCAAGTTCGAAGTGATAAATCCTGGAGAACGATGTACCTGTGCAATTTGATCGGTCAACATATCTCCATCATAGTTGTGAGCAGCCATTCCAAATCCTCCATCGGTCCACCGGATAAGTTGCATTGTGGCGGCGTCGGAGATTAGGTGCACAAGTTCGCCCCCGCTTCTCTCCAACAGTCCCTCCTCCAAAAATGTTTCCTAAGTTTTAAACCGATACAAAAATCAAACGAATCAGAACAACGTTGCACACCTGGAGCCTAGCATAATCTTGCAAGTCATCCGCGATGGATGGAATTGAATTTGAGTCCTTACCTTGTAGTCTTGCTCAAAAACATCTTTCATGGTGGACCAGAAACCCTCCTGCCACTTGAATACCGTCTTTTTCGTTACAACATAGGGCGTAACCTTGTGTTCGAGGCATCTCTTGAAGAAGAGGTGCGCCAAATCCTTGACGTTGTCGTAAGGATTGTGATAAACAACTACAACGTTGTTTTCATCGGTCAAATCTCTCTTGTCGACGACGAACGGGGGAGAACCATCTTCTGGAAGGTAAGTGGTCAAAAGGGTTCCTTCCCCGACTTTATCCCAGCCAGCRCCGTATTCACCTCCGACGGCATGGCGTTCAAACAAAACTTGATTTTTGTAACCGAGTTCGATTCCTTTGATATGAATGGTATCACGGGAGATGGTGATTCCGTTCCATCCCTTTCGCATAGCTCCGTTGGGCGATCCAAACGCCTTACTAAGACCCATTTCTTCTACCTGAACAGCAGATGGGGTGATGGTGGGTTCTTTGAAAATCGCACCGATTCGCTTTCCGGCTTCGACAGCGTCGTGGAGCACTTTGTCGTCCGTTTCGTCGCGACTYTTACAAGACAAATCATAAGTCTCCCAAGCACTGGTGTCGAAGTATGGCTTGATCCATTTATCGACAATCAAATCAGAGGCATAGTGGGTCATCTCTTCCCCAGCAATGTATACCATGGGTGGTGCCGGAATATTTTCACCGAGGGAAACACTTTCGATCTTCGCCTCGCCAGCCTCAGTGCTCAAATAGCACCGAAGAGGAGTGAAGCGGGACGTAATGGATCTGTCGAGCCATGTGCGCTTTGCAGCAGTTTTGCTTGATAGACGAGTAGCAGCTAATCGAAGAGCCATGACAAAGTTTTTAAAGAGAGGTTTCGGTGTTCAACAGAGTYGAGTTATGGTGTGCGTCGACCGTCAATAATATCGAATCTAAATCGTTCCTTGAGTCGCTGTTTTTGTGTTCTAGAAAAGTTCACAAACTTCGTGAAGCAGAAGAAAAGCTGAACGAAAAATCCTTCCACCTTCGCCAYTGATCGTGTTGTCCTTGTATTTTCGAGACCACGATTGCCAAAAAATTTAGCAGCAGGATTTGTTCCACGGCCAGACGGATTGAGATGGGTACTTCACGTATTATGGAAAGATATGCTTGCGTATTTGTGTCCATAAGCGAGACATGTGCTTACAGTTTACGACTTACAGTAGTACTCGTACGTACGGTCAGGGGTCATAATTTAGACCCCTGCCTACGCGTAGGGTACAGTACGGTACGGTACGGTACGATACGATAGGTACTGTACGGTACAGTTTACTTTACAACGAGTTTTGGTTGTTCCCTGCTTTTCTACGTTACCGGTACGAGTACCAGGTACGTACTCTTACGCTCGTACGGTACATCTAGGACCTTTCAAGCATGACTGCGAACTCTGATGAAAACGACCAATGAGAAAAAAGATACCTTTTAATTGCAGTTCTATGGTGTCAATCGGCAAGTTCTTTCGCTCTCAAACCGAGTGTAAGAGAAGTTATCGTGATTGTAACGAACAATGCCCTCAAGGAACGAAACTWCACTCTTGTTCTTTTCCTTCATTCATCATAAAATCAAAGATCAGCAATCAGAATCGATTATCGTAATCGTAACTAATAATACCGTAAAGGAAAGAAACTTGACTTGTGTTCTTTTCCTTCATTCATCGTAAAACCAAAGATCAGCAATCAGAATCAACAAATGCTATTCTTAAAATCAGACTTKTATTATTTCGTGCTCCTCTTAGTATCATCTACTTGGAGTACCTGTGCATTCATGGAGAATTTCAATGGGAGTCGGCAAAAAAATGTGAAGAACGAAATACGACCCGATCTCCAAGATGTGATTGATCGCCAATGCCAGGATAACACACAACTCGACATACGAATCAATGTTGGTGACGAGGAGACTGGATTTCTCACCATCCAGAACATGGTCATCCAACTGGGTGGTCCTTACGACAGCGAGGAAGCAAAAGAGCACGTCAAGCTTCCTGGGAGCGATGGCGAATATTCCGATGTCTCCTCCGGTGGGTACAACATGAACATCCTTTCGAAGGGAGAGTTCGTAAATATGGATGGATTGCAGCACATTGACTGCCAGAAGGGGTGTTGGGAAATTTGTTGGATGAGGGGCAGACCCGCGGGAACTATRATTTTTGCCTTCAATCTTCCTCGTACGTACTCTAGAAACAAAGCGGTTTTACCCGAGGGTGATATGTGGATGAGTTTTCCCGTCTGGACCGAAGAGGGCCTCAAATATGGTCAGGCTGCCAAGCAGAAAGTTTTCGACGAAATGRATTTCTACACCAGAAAGTGGAACGAAGAATTAGTGAAATACCAGCTGACCAATAATCCAATAATGAAGGCAATCCACGAACGAAATGCACATATTTTTGCTGAGAAATGCGACAACGCATGGGATTACTCTCTGGCCACTATCCCGAATAACGATCAGTGCCATAAATTGCAAGAAGACCTCTTGTTGTCTGAAAGAGGATTGCTATGGACCAAAGATGGCAGGGCTGATGTACTCCTGGGAGATGCTTTCGTGTCTCCTTCTTGCCGAGGGAAAACATTGTCGTCGTTTTCAAACGGTAGATTACGACCTTAAATGWATTATAGCTTGTTTTTCCAATGCAACCGAACAAAAATCGTGCAAAGTATGGAACATATGATCATGACAATATTTTTTACGTCATACTAGTTCTCCAGAGAGTAGGGAATATAAACATTTGCAAATGTCACTAAATATTGATATGATAGGTGAGRTTGCCATGGAGAACCTGGGCTTTCACTTCTTCGAATTATTCTATTATCGCTGATCGCCGTAGAGAACAGCTTTGATGTTYTTTCGCTGGCTCTTGCATACTTTGTAGTCTTGCTCGTCGATGTTTCACCGAGTAAGTAAGCTCAGTTCACATTTTTTTAGAGAGCAGTTCCAGACTAACAGTTCCGATGGTTGCTTGCTTTCCCATAGGAGAATCATGTGTCCACACTTTGCCGCTCTTGCAAATGTACAGATCGCCTTCCAAATGCACGACTTCATCCTCACTGGGTATTCTTCTCATCTTTAGATTTGGCTCCATGAGGTATTCGTCAAMCGCGCAAAGGGCCTTGTAATAGTGGAGTCCCTTTTGAAATATGTTAGTCGTATGATTCATCTTGAAAATTTCTTCGTCTCTTTTCTTCAGGGCCATAYCAGCACGCTCAGTGCTACGCTTCTTGAAACTCTGAGCATTCTTCAGTCCTTCACTGCTCCACGTGGTAAGTGAAATATAGATCATTCCCTTGGGAAGAGTTGCGTCGTTTCTTTTGTAAACTTGATCCAGTTCCAATCCAAAAGTCAGAGTTCCATCGGGGTCACCTTTCCTCCAGACAAGCTCCCAGCATCCTTTCAGTGGTTTTACGATCTGGTTTCCTCTCATCGAAATAAAGGACCCATCTTCGACAACCCTTAGCTCGCGAAGTCCTCCAGTGAAAGATACCCAGGGCCAATGCTTCCCGGGCATGYTAATGAAATCATTTTTTGAGACATGGATTTCTTTCGTGAAATCAAAAACGAGTCCATTGATGGCTAGAATCGAGTTTCCTTCAGGATCCCCGATTTTCAGACCGACAGAGACACGTTTCTCGTGTTGAGCTTCGACCAATTCACGGAGTCCAGAAAGCGGGGCCGGAGCTTTATCAAGGATAAAGCTAGACACAAATGAGAGTGAGTAGAGAATAAATATGAGATAAATTTGCATCATTAGATCTATTGTCACCGTTCTGCCATMAGGAAATTTATGTAATACAAAGCAACKAGTCCGGTAGTTTGGTGCCTTTTATGAAAAGTATATCTGGAGAGTTTTCATCAAAGGKTATGACGGAGACCGCTGCAACCAAGCATTCAGAAGAGAAAGAACTTTTTGAATAAAATACGCGTGCCATTCGGTGCGTTCACAATTTGAACCCGCATCCATCAGGTTCTTGATGTCCGTCGCTTCGTAAGACCTGGCTTCGATGCCTCTATTTTTGTCGGAATCGCATCGGGTGGAATCGGAATCAGAATCGAACCGTTGATGACAATTCAATCTTGTCATTTTTGCTAGAGATCATAAGTACCGATGTGGGATAGTAAAATGTTTAGCTAGTCTAAATGTGGGGGAGATTCACGACGCCAGAATTCTTTCGACAAAACAAATGACATCAAGAATGGAAAAAACATCAAGTGCGAATACGTATRTTTGTACCAGAAGGTACGTACTCACTAGTCGTACGCACCGTAAACGATACCGATACGACTCCGTTTTCTTTTACCATCAATCAGAATTTAGAATTTTCATGTGAGAGTGCACGTCTGAAAATGGATCGAATCATTCGATTCCCTTTTTGGAGCTTTWTTGCCGCATTTTCAAAACCTCCCGAGGCAACTTCGGAACAAAACCTTTCATGATTTTGGTATTTCGGATTTCCGTAGTATTTACTCCTACAAATACCTACGTACGTATTGTGCTGTACAACTCGAACGCAGTCGTATCGTATCTTGAAATCTTCGTACGGTACCGTACGTACGTAAAGTACCGCATGTTGTCTTGTCCAGTCGGAGTCGGAGGTGTCATTAGATGGATGCTGATACCAATACGTTGTATTCCTCCTGGTGTGACAATGATGCAGACATGTCTTCCCAAACTTTGAAGATTGCGTGTCACAACTTGTCATCGAGGGAATCAGAGTAAAATCGTACAGTCATGACAAACTTCCTGATGGCGAAGCGCTTGGGATTGAATGGCATGTCGGCGGCAACGATGAGAGTAGGGAAATATCTTGTTGTTGCCTCTACGCCAGCATCTTCCTTGGCAGCGACGTATTCGTCAAAAGCCTTCTGCTCTTCACCTCAAAGCGAGTGTGGAGGTGCTGGGATCGGGAATGTAGAAGATAGGATACTACCTTCGACTTTTACGGACAGTAGATTGTTCAAGCACTGCAGACATCCTATGACAGCATCAATAATAGGGTAAGTGTCTACACATTCGTTCACTTGGAGAACTGTTTCCAGAAAAATGATCGTCATCGACACATAAGTTTAGACTTTCACTTATTTTCGCTTGCTATTTTGTATTACTGTTTCTCACATACTTTAAGGGCACCGATGACGTATGGGCAACCATTCGTGGGGACTGTAAGTGATTTAAACGCGTGTTGGTCAGGGTGCTGRTTCGTGATAGTGTGTTCCAAAAATTCTCGATATTCCGGTTGGRCCCTCTTTATCGTCTATATATTGGATTTCATTCTAATGGAGCTTGTGTGACTCTCTTTATTGTTTCGTGATATGATAGGATTATGGACCTAAAAAACTCCGGGAAAGAGGTCTTCGATCCAACCTAACTAAATTAGGTTGGAGAGTCGAAGATACGCAAGACCTTAACTTTGATTCAGTGAATCAGTCTCATGTGCCTGATCCTCCTAATGCCAGAAATTGTTCACTGGTCGGAAAAGGATGTAGCTTGCTTTCCGAAGTGGTTGAAACAAAGATTAACGACGGGCACTTTCCTCTCGTTTTAGGTGGTGATCATTCCATCGCCATTGGGTCACTCGCAGGGATTCTTCGCGCACGTCCTGACACAGGAATTATTTGGGTYGACGCACATGCTGATCTCAATACACCTGATACGTCAGGAAGTGGAAACTTTCATGGAATGCCCTTGGGGCTTCTGATGGATCACCCCGATGGACAATATGATTTCTCGAAGCTCCCCGGTTTCGAATTCTTGGTTGATGGACCGAGGATTTCGCCGGAACAGCTAGCCTACGTTGGTTTGCGGGATGTCGATCCAATGGAACGCGTATGGATAAAAAAGTTGGGCATAAAGACGTTTACAATGACAGAYGTTGATTTTCTCGGGATWGGGGAAGTCATGAAACAAGTTTTGGAGCATCTTGAAGGCAGACCACTGCACTTATCTTATGATATCGACAGTGTTGATCCCGTGCTTGCTCCTGCCACAGGGACCAAAGTCCGTGGTGGATTAACATACAGAGAGGCTCACTTCGTCGCTGAATTTGTAGCCCAGAGTGGCGATCTAGCCAGCGCCGAAGTGGTTGAAGTCAATCCAAACTTGAGCGATGATGATGGTGCAAACGAAACTGTTGAATTAGGCATGCAACTCATAACATCACTCATGGGTAAAAGCATCATTTAGATGAAAAAGTAGGGCAACAAGTTGAGTTTAAGCTTTTTACTATTGTTCATAAATCCAAATCGTTGTCATAGTTATTACTAGAGTTGAGAATGTGCTTGTTCTTCTGRCATTCTCCTCTCTTGCTGAATAGCATGCTTATCGTATTTTCTTTTCAATATCTCGAGTGGATTCTCCACTTCTACTCAAGAAACTTACTACAACATTGTGGTGGTGCCTAGTACTTCTTGCTGATTTTTTTATTTTTTTTTCATCATCCACAAAGTAAAAAGAGCCCTTCTTTAAAAAAGAGCACTGAAATTAATGGTCACAATTGCATGCATATGAATATATGTGAATGTTTCTTGTTTTTGCACAATGCAAAGGATTTATTGGTTTTGGTGCACTGTACTACCATTTCTCTCATATAGTAGCCAGTAATATCAATTACACCACTGGATTGGACTTTCCAGCAAAGAAACCGTGTAGGCCTTGGTACCCAAATATTGCAGATTAATTTGTAGCTTGACCAAAAACACAATATTCATTTTGAACACAATAAAAGTAGCCACTAGTACTAGTAGCTTAGTCCAACAAGAGTAAAGTGGTCAATTTCAAGATAAAAGAGAACCACTTTCCCAAGACTTGAATATTCACTCATTGTTGTGCTTGGCCATTCCAAATTAAAAGAGAGAACCCAAGAATACCAGCACCCAGCAAGACTCAGAATATTCAGCAATAACAATCACAATTGGTTATTCAAAGATTGATAAAGTGAATCCCATTCCCAAGACTTGATAAAATCAGTCAGCAGCCATAAATCATCATGAAGAAGTCAGAAGTTGAAGAGACCAAGACTAGGCAAAGATTATTGTTGGGTGACATACCTTTTTCTGTAAAAGGTAACTTTAGTACAGCAAAATGTTGGTAACCAAAAAGGCATAAGAAGTTAAAACATTTGTGTTGAAAAATTTGTAAAACATCAGCAAAAATGTTACTGAGACTTTGGCAATGCTTAGTGTTTGGAAACACTTAGTAGTAAACATTAGGAATTCTGAATTATTATTGTAACAAAGCTGTGGTAAAGGTTCAGATACCATAATTTCCTGCTACTAGTAGTAGTAGTAGTACTTGTTGATCAAGTAGTAGTACTAGCTACTACTGCTGGCCTATGTGTATAAAACTTAATTCACCACATACACACCACATGATATAAACCATAAAATAAACTCTCAATTCTTGACAAATAAAGTTCTTTGTTCCTCTGGTGGGACCTTTAGTAGTATTCATCATCAGTATTGTGTGCTTCAGTCAAGTCCTTTTCTGACATACTCTGGATCCAAGCAGCAGCAGGAGAGTCTTCTTGGGATGAGTCCGGAACATTGGCTGAAGATGCTCAGATGGTTAATAAATTGTGTGTGGAATAAGGCAGTTAGTGTAGTGTCTATCTATCTATAACACATGCAAACAGAACAGTATACTCTAAGGACTTACTAGCAGATATGAATTAATGCCATTGACCATGCTGCTGCTGGTGGGGTGTCATAAGGGTGTTTTAGATTAAGGTGAAAAAGAAGTATGTGTAAAGCAACTGCTGCTGAAAGTTTCCCCTGTATACACAGTGACACAGTGTATTAGCAATAAGACACTAAGAATGTTTGTGTGATGTGTTAAATGGTCAATAAGTAAGAGGCTTCTTTACAGTCATATAGGATCAGTTTAAATAGCCCATGACCAACAGTGTAGGTATGTACCTATAACATACCCTGTACCATTCAGTCCTAATTGTATGAGTTGTAAGAGATCCATCCAAATGAGCCATATTGGATCCAACCATATGTGTGATTTTAACCATGGGGCTGATGTGGGTTTCACAACTTGGGAAAGTTGCCTGATGTACTTTCCACCATTGAAGTGAATCATGATAAACTGTCTTACCTTGAATTTCTTAATAATTGAATAGGTTTCAGAAGACACATGAAGTTGGACCATTGATATTGACCTCTGGACCTTCTTGTTGAATTGATGAGCATTATCCTTATCATATTTTGACTCTTCTTCTCCCATCAGCTCAGACATATCTATGTAGTATCATCACCACCGACACCAGTATCTTCTTCTTGGTTTAACTCTCCAACTAGTTGCATGATGTCACGTGTTGCTTCAATAGCAGTCAACTCAGCTTCAAGTCTCTGGAACCTAGCCTCCTTCATCAGTTTGGGCACTTTGCTGTGATTAGAAATAACATCTTAATATTATGTTTTGCCTTGTCAATATTATGGCCAGGACCAGAACTTCTGATAGAATACTGCTCCTAACTGCTCTAGGGGGTGGTGCTTCACTCCAAGGAGTCTTTCCAAAAGAGCAATCAAGCAGGGATTCAAACCCCAAACCTTGGCACCTATTGCCATGTTGTAACCATCTAAATCATAGGATGGGTCCTCATGACTTTGCTGTGAATAGTGTTTTGCTATTTTTGCCTCCAATGTATACAAAGCTCTTGGTTCTTGGGTCACAGAAGGTGACAATTGGGTGGATTCCCCCATGTCTAACACTATACCTGTGCCTTGGTGTCAGTCCTTGAGATTACTCATATTGCATCTTTTTTTCTTTCACACAAATATCAAAGTAATTCAAGAGATAATTGAGCCAACCTCCTGCACTAGTATCAGCATGTGCTCTACATTTGGTGATGAGTCTATTTCAAAACATTTTCACTGCTCAACACAACAAACTTACAGTACCAGTTAGTTGTTTTCTCTGGAGCTTCCTTGGCTTCTTTGAAAGGCTCAAAACAAACATGATCTCCTTCAGGGGTTCATGGTCATCAATGAAAATTTCTGCACTTTTTTACATGGTTGACCCTGAATGCATTGTTTGTTTTATTGCTGTTTTAAAATAAACCAGATGGTCATGCACATGATAGGTTGACCAAGAACATCTTGTCACAACATTGTCAACAACACCAACAGGTTTCTTTTTTTGGTACTAGGTCTCAAGCTCTAAGTCTTGAACCCTCTTGAGCTTTCCTGCAGCTTGGGTTGAATGATTGAAGTGGTGAATATGTGCTCTTGCTATTTAATAGATCTCAGCATGAAGAACACCAAATGGTTCTTCTGTATCTTTGTTATAAACCTACTTGGAAGTGTTATATATTTCATGATCAGCACAATAAATAGTACTATGATGAGTTCCCTGGTCCTCTAGCAATATCCAAGGAGAGTTTACCATGTTATGAGGAGTATCAGTTGTTAGTACTGCTGTCAAGTTTATACCTCCCAACTTGAGCTTTTCAAGCATCAATCTCTGAAAATCATCACTCAACTTTTTGCCTTTTGTTCCTCCATTGTTTTTACCAACATCAAAGGAACACTTAACCCAAAAAGTCCCATTGATAAATTGCTAAGAAATAACACCAGTGCAGTTCTGACTTGCTATAGATGTTCAGTGATCAAGGTTTAGTGAGATAGACTGCTCCTACAGTTCTTCAACCATTCTTCCAGGCATTAAATACTAAATGTGAGACATCATTGATTGAACTTTCTTTTTGCATATTGGTAGTTGTACATTATTATGATGCAACAGAATAAGGTATTAAAAGGTTTTGTTTGTTCCACAGTACCAAAGAGAAGAAATTGCTACATAGAAACTTCACTGTAATCAGATCTTGGTATTTCTGCATCTCATCCTTGATAGTTGCCTTGGATGCCTCTTTTCTTGCAAATTGACTGAATGAAACCTGGACAACACCTTTGGTTTTTGCTATCACTGTATGTCTGAGTAGCATTTGATCCTACCAAAAAAAACATGAATACCCTTCTTCTTGCCATATGGTGTTTTATGATAATGAATTGGTCCTTCATGCTTGGGCTGGAAAAGATTGTTTTGTAACAGTTCCATTACCAGTCCAGGTCCCTATATTAATCAGACTGTCAAACATGTTGTATCATACAAAGGCTTCATTCCCACGGGGTTTTGGTTCCCAGTTGTTAGGCAAATCTGATGTATCAACATTATCTTTCAATTGTTGGACTTCACAGTAAGAATCCCATCAAGCTGTAGTATTTTGTCTAGCCTTACAAGGTAAAAGATGGCTTCAAGTTTTGGAATTGGCTTTGACTGATCAAGTACAGTGTTTGTAGGAGTATTGGAAAGAGTTGAGTCATTATCATTGAAGGAGGACTTCACACTTGATGGTTGGGATGAAGCAGCAATGAGCCTTGGAAGAGTTTGAGACATAAAGCTATTTGCACAAAGATTTTTGTTAGAGACATGCTCTAATTCTGCACCACCATGGTCAACACTTTTTAACATTTTGAATGTTTTTTAGAAGGGTTTATTCTTAGTATAGAGTTTGAAATTTAATTTGTAGCCATGTTTTGTATGATGGAGTCTTCATTTTATGAGCAGTTCTTTCCAAATTTTTGCCAACTTAGGTCTGTTTGTTTTGACAATTCAAGGTCTGGTTTATGGGGAATTGATGTGATTGACAATGTTACTGAGAATACTCCACTGTCAATTGTCAATGGCTGCTTACAAATTCATATTGAAGGAGTGGTTGGGGGTGGAAGTTGCACAGAGATTGTGGATTAATTTATTTCCAATATTGGGGTACAAATGACTACAGGGATTTGACACAAAAACACTGTATCTGCAAGAAAAACTCTTCTGTTTACAAAAAACAATACACATGTCTAAGATAATACTACTTCTTCTAGTAGACAACAAACCAGTACAATTCCAACAAACAGCAATTTGCTTCTAAATGATTGTAATATTTTTCCACCTTTGCTCACTTGTTTAGTGTTTGCACCATAGAAACTATTTGCATTAGCCAGCCAATTATTGTTTACACAGGAGCAGAAGAAGAGAGCCACAAAGTCAACATAACAAACAGCAGCAGTTGGCCACAGTGCACAGGTTGACTACCATTCCTCACGTGTACAGAGCCCATCACTAGATTTGACATACCAAAGAAAAAAAAAATATTTTTTTGTGTAGAATTGTGTAGGCCTTCTTGGTTGTCTAATATTTCAAATAAAATTTTTAGCACCTAAACAGAAGACAAATTATTTGTTTTTTCCATAGTAG